TGCACCGTGATTGTGATTGTCTGCTGTGTCCACTGCCAGATGTAAGCCTGAGTGTGCCGTGTTCACAGCTGCGCCCCCAGCATGGCACCTGGAAAAGCAAGCTCTCACTGCCCATCAGCATGACTGCAAACCTAGGGATGGGAAGGGGGAGGTAGGTCTGTGAAATTGCGTCCCTTCTGACAAAGATTAGAGAAAAAATATGGTCCACTTGGAATTCCATCATATAGTCATGGGTTCGTCATTAAACAGAACACCAGACATTCAGTTTTAAGAAACTGCCCCTTGGCCCTCAAATATCCTATAAGGAACGGCACGTCCTTCCTAGAAGGGCTGCCGGTGGGGTGGGAATTTTTATTTGCCCCAGAATAGGAAGCCTGGGAGAAGCGATGGGGGTCTCGACACCAAGTCCGGTATCTTTTTCATGACACTGTTTATTCTGCCCTGCCCCATATGGAAATCGTGTCATGGTTGGGATCCAGGCACAGAATACGGGGGTGGCAGTGGGTTTCACCTAAAATGGAGGTGTTCCTGCATCCCTGCTGGCCTGGACTGCACCCCACCCCCAGAGCCCCAGAGAAATCACACACGCATGCTCACTCCAGGAACAGGCACAACCCAGCCATGCCTGACAGGTTTGGGACACTGTAAGTAGCTGGCTGAGGCTCTGGGTCCCAAGTAAGAGATTGGGATGGGGAAGGGGTGGTGAGGGAGGAAGGGGAAGGATTTCCGGATTGCCTGACAAACATAAACCCAGGCCTGAGCTTCAGTCCGGGCTCTGAGGACACGGGATCACAGTAAATCTCAGGTCCCTGTTTACTCCCTCCCCTCTCCCCACCTCCGCCCCCACCAGTCTCTCATTCTGTCCTCTCTTATCTGGCACCGATATAAAGTGCGGGCTCATCGACAGATGAATGGATAAAGAAGAGGTGGTATATATACACAATGGAATATTATGCAGCCATCAAAAGGAATGAGATCTTGCCATTTGCAACGACGTGGATGGAAC